CTTTCAAAATGAGTTATGACTTTAATAGTTCTGCTATCAAGTGTTTTGAGCAAAGGCAGCACATAGTCCCAGTCTAAATGGGCAAGAGGGCAGGTGCAGCCACTGTGGGCCACCCAAAATAGATCTGCATCAGCTCAGCCATGGCAAGGAGGGGCTACAGACCCTGTAACACCACATCCTCATCCCAAAAAATCTCCTATGCCAAACATCTGTTGGCATCACACAGCATGTACTCTACTTTCTTAGAGCCCATCTCTGTTCCTCATGCAGCACCATGACTCCTGGGTTGCGGGCTGATGCTGAACCTTCCATTTCCTCTCCCTTCTTCCAGCCTCACCACCTCACAAGCCTTTTTCACCACGAACCCGAGACAGTTTTCCCTCCTGCAGCCCTCTGTGCCTCCCATCTCAGCTTCGCGGCTCTCCTCAGCACAGGAGAAGGCCAGGGAGTAAGACTCGGTCCTTCAGGCAGCCTTAGGCAGGGCTTTGGAGATGAAGATCAAGGACATGAATTACCAGCTGATTCTGCAAAGTCACGGTGATGAAGCTCTGCTGCCACAGACATTCACATGGAAACGCGACGTGAAGCCATGAATGCACAATCAGGGCTACAGCTCAGGATCTGTCCGAAGGAGGTTCTCCTTGTTGAAGGAAGGAGAAATTTGTTTATGCATAAATAGCCACAAAAATAACTGAAGGAAAGCACAGGGAGATGAGTGGGAAAGCAAACTGGAGTTTTTCTGGCAGAACCTGCTTTGCTGCCAAAGAGTCCCTTTGCTGAGCAGGTGGCAAAGGCTGGACCAGCACCAGCTGCTTCTGGAGATCCTGTTCATTTGAACAAGGAGGCTGTAACTGGGGAGAGCACCCACCTTCCCCATAAGGCACTACAGGGTGAGAGGCATCCCTCTCCAGGCACGCGTTGTCCTACCCAGCAATGATATCCCAAAGCACCCGGAGAGAGATCAGAGCCCAGTCACAGCTCTTTAATGGGTTAACAAACCTTCCTTGGCGGGGGGGGCGGGGGAGGAAATGTATGACATACTTACAGTCTAGCTCCTCATGAAAACACCGTGGAAAAATAGACATGGATGGCGACTGCTCAGCATCAGGTAGAGTCTTCATCAGGGCACGTCTGGAGCTGCAGAGCCATGGGGGGGGGCAAATGCAGCTTTTGCCTTTCTGCAGTCAGGGTTCCTTCCACAGCACTGGGGGCCAGGGGCATCTGGAGCTGGTGTAAGGCTTCATGGCACAAGGCGGGTGATTCCAGCTGAATACTCACCCAAACTAACTCAGCTCAGCCTGACCTGTAGCTCCATAAAGGATAACTCAGCATCTCCCTGGGTAAGTCCTTCCCATGGCATAAAACCATCCGAACCTCAGTGAAGGTGTAAATTCTGCACCTGATTTCTGCTTTTAGAAATTGTGATTTGCGTTGGGGGGAAAGTTGTCGCCTGAACAGCCTGGCAGGAGGAGAGGAAGGGAGAGGAGCACCGGCGGAGCAAAGGGTCCTTCCAAAGCCAGAGCTTTGCCCAGAGTTGCCAGTGCTGTGAGCTGAGACAGCTCAGCCCCCGGCTCATCCACTCCTCGGCCTTTCCCGCAGTTGTCTCCAGCCAGGAGCAGCAGGGAGAACGCTTAGTACATTAATAAATCCCATAATACTGAACCAAGCCACTTTGGTTTATGGCTTTGCTGTAAGAACTCACCCCTGGGTACTTATAATTAACTGAACTAGAAAAGAAATAAAGATTTAAATTTTTCCTCACCGATTTTGTTCCTTTCTTTTTAAAACAAAAAAAAAAATAAAGCAGAAAATCACCACTGATAACAAAAAACCCTCTCCTGACATTTACCTACCCGGGCAGGAATATTGATCCCCGTGCAGAGAGAAGGCGCTTTCCTTATTGCACATCTCACTGGCTAATCCATCTTTCCTGGCTACAGAAGATTGCTTTGGCTTTATTTTCAGAGCAGTTCTGCAATTCATTGTTCTCCACCATCACGCCTAACGCCATAACTCCTGGGAAACGTGGGGAGAAGGGCTGGGTTTAGCCCTGCACCAGACCTCACCTCCAGCAGCAGGCAGCTGCTGGCATCACTGCCCTGCCCAGAGCCCCAGAGCAGCTGGGGGGGCCGGCGTGGCCCAGGCAGCTCCTGCCCATCTCCAACCACAGATTTTTCTAGTGGTTTCTTATCTTCTGTTCCCAGGTTGCCAACAGACACAGTTGCCTGCAAAACAAAAGTTCCCACTGACCTCAGTAAAAAGGACTGGGATGCTCCAGGCGTCAGCTCAGATCGCACGGGCTCGACAGTGATTTCAGCTGGAAAAATAAACCCACGTGCAAAGATCCCGGGGTGGAAACAACCCCCCTGATCCACGCAGCTAAGTCCTTCAGACTCCACATCACTCAAAGTACAGGGGGTTTTATTTTCCTTTATTAAAGCACACAAGTAGCCACCTAGGAAATTGTCGTTTACACTGCAGTAATTGTAAAATCATACCAACACAGCCATTTCAGGAGGGAATCAGAGAGCCTGCGCTTCGGCCGATCGCAAGCCTTCAACTCCATAGGCACACTACAATAAAGCTTTTGCTTTCAGGTTTTTGTTGCTCTTATAACAAACTCCACTGAGCGTTGAACAGAATGCCTAAACACATTCACTGCGAGGGCCACGGAATTACCCAAAAGCTTAGGAAACGCACATTTATTGAGTACTCCATTATGTAAGATTGTTGCAGCATAGTCATCATAACAAAATCCTTATTAAAAAAAAAAATGCTGAACACTGATATATTCTTCAGAGGACGTAAATCTAGTGAAAAACCCAACCAAGAAGTACAAAGGGAGGGGGGTGTTCCTTAGCCAGCCACTAATGAACGCTCTTCTTGCTCCCTAATGGCACCGCAAGAAAAGCCCGGCAGCCACTTCCCAGCTTCATGTAGCACCATACCCAGTGCCCCGTCAGAGCGTCCCACAGCCCATGGGCCCAGAAGGCTCAAGGTTGCTCAATGACCAACGCTGTTATCGTATCCATGAACACTACAGCCCATGAAACTCATTTCTTTCCCAAGGGCATGGATGCAGCTTGCCAGCAGCGCGGTTCTCAGGGAGTTCTTAGCATGTGTGGGGGCTGTATGAGATTTCCTGGTGAGTACCTGGGGATAAACATCCATCACAAAGTGCTTAAAGTGCCCAGATTTCCTCCTCCCCCTAACGTTATTGAGGGGAAGTGCTAATTGCAAAATTTTCACTAGTATCCGTCCAGATTCCCAATCAAATGCTAATCAGCATGAAAATCTTCCCAGCTCGAGCAGTTTACAAGGGATCTGGGACCTATATGTGGGACGCTGGAATTACATCTGCATTTTAAGCCCAACCATAAGGGAAACACTCTACATACAAAATAATCCAATGTTATATTTCTAGAGCATATATAAAGAACGTGACAGCATTAAAATATTGGCAAATCCATACATTAAAAATACAGAATCTCATAGACCAGAGAGCAATAAATATATTCACATGAAATCTGTACAGTCCGGACAACGTGGCCGGTTCTCGCGTTGGATTTGATCTCCGGTCTCCAAACGGAGGTCGTTGCTTTGCTTCCCCATCAGCACCACTCGCCACCACTGCCCAGATTTCCCCAGGCTGTTGTGCAACAGGGACAACACAAGACTGCTGACCCCGCCAGCATGGAGGGCACTCAGGGGTTAAACTCTTCGGGAACGCTTTCATTACCAAACAAAATGACAGGGCATTTCATCTTACGCAAAGCTCTGGCCAACTGGGAGAGGAAAATCAATCCATGGTTGGCAGGAGGGGTGGTACCTCGGCAGCATTTCCCGAGCTCTGTCAGCATCGTGGATCTCATTTCATTAAAACAAAAAGAAAAACCCACAAACCCATTTTTCATATGGTTTGCGCCCCACTTATCTCACATGGAGCAGGTGGG